TTTATTGTAGTGGTTTGTTATCTTTTTCTTTTTTGGTATCTGTTAAATTTTTTAAAAAATTTAGACTATGCATATATTTTTTTATATATATATATATATATATATATATATATATATAATATTTAACATTGTTCGAATGCTTTAGTTGAATCGCAATATTTAATCTAAATACATTACATCTTCTATAAAGTTAACGAACTTATAAAATATTACATCTTTTATAAAGTTAACAAAACATATAATGATAGTGTACTTCTTTTACCTTACATTAAATCACTACTTAAATATCAAAATTACCATGTAAATATATGATTGCCAAGAACACTGATCTAGCCTTTTTGCCCCAACCCAAATAAATAACCGAACCATAGATAACTTTCCCCCATCAAATCAAATTGGTTTCTAAATTCCGACAACCAACTAAAGTTGATCTAAATTGGCATGAAACACCAAATACCTAGTATATACTTACAAAGTAAAGTTGAATAAGCATTTCATAACTTTTTGAAAGTGTCTCTTCTATTCCTTTCCCTTCATTTTTCAAATACAATTTTTCCCCTTGGCCCCCCTTGTTGAAAACTAGAAGAGCCAGGCACCAAATAAGAAACTCCAATCATAGTACCCACCCTTGACACCCTAGGTCCCCACCATGATTTGCTACTTTAATTTCCCCGATCCTCTTTATGAATGAATCTTGAGATGTATAGAATATTATCAATAATCAAATTCTTAGTTTTAGAATAAAATTGAACTTAGTTATTTTACACAATATATTATGTTTAAATGTTGTACATAAAGAAACGTGTGATTAGATTAAAAAAAATTCATTAAAATTGATTGATCAAATTTTCTGACAAAAATTAGTGTAAATATTTGGCACAAATAACATAGTACTAAAAAGCACTGTTATCGATAATAAATAACCTATGTCCAACACCTCATGTGTTGTTCTTCTTTGCCCACAACAAGTTTCAATGTCTGAGTCTGAATTAGCCTCTTGTGATGATCAATCCCCCCCATCCTCCACATCAAGTACTCCAACCATTCAAATCGTCTCAAAGTCCTTCTCTGAAAGGCTCATGGGGAAATTCTTCGATGCTTCTCAGTTTGATTTTGTGTATGAGCAAAGTGGTTTGTGGTCTCCTCCAATAAGGAGGACTGTGTTTTTGGCCTCACCTGGTAACATATGTTCTCAAGATGAAATCCTGAGGAAGCTCAAGAAGGCAAAGAAGACAAGGAAGAGACCAATTTCATGCATCTTCAACGTATGCATTTTCTGTTCCCTTTCACTACTTTTCTCTTTCATCTTTCCAAAACTTAGGCTCACTTCTTAAGTGTTTCTATTTTTCTTTCTTTCTAATACTCATGCATGGTTGTCCATGAATTTGATCGGTTATTTTTAGTAAGATTTTTTTTCTTTCTTTTTTCTGTGTAACTGCAAGACTAAACAAAAAAAAATGATCTAAAGAGACTCGGTCCAATACTGCTTACACCAACGACTCATTTAAGTATTGAGTACATTCTTTAATTGAAATTGGTTTTTGAGAACAGACACACTTAACAAACTGTGTTTGTAGTTTTTAATTAATTTGTGATTGAGAGTAATAATCTTATGAGATTCTTCTGACTCTTTTTCAGGCCTTTTGGTGCTCTTGAAGTTGATCATGGCATAAAGAGTGCATATGCCAACCATAGTCTCTTTTAGGGTAAAGTCGTGTTTGTCTCAGAATATATATGATCCGTACTTTTCAATGAGCATGTGAGTACTGCTTTGCCAACTAAATATGTGGTCCAATGTAATCATAACCTTAGGAGACCCATAAAGTGAGATATTATATTTTATATATATAACTACTTGCAGTTAGTTCTTTACTCTTATTTTCATGTCAGTTTTTAATTTTAATGCAATATATTGATGTATAAGCTAATTGAATTCTCTCAGACATAAGTTCACCAAATCTGATAAAATCGTTCAATTTATTTGAGTAGCTTATACATTTGATAAACATTTTTTAATCTTATCCTGGTGTAAGAAAATAAGAAACTAATGAATAGAGATATTATGGAAAGTGATTGTAATTGTACAAGTCATTTCTAACAAACGTGAAGCTTCTTATAAATACATTATGTTCATGTGACCTTCCTATTTCTTTGGCTGAAAAGAAAATTACAGACATATTAGCGGTATATAAATGGCATTATTAGCACTCTAAATTAATAAATAAATTAATGCACCCAAATGCATGGTTTTGTTTTTTCTTGAAAACATTTTTTGATATTTTGTTATTACCAATGCAGTAGAGAATATAAATGACTGTACTGCACACAGTGACCCATCGTTTAGAATTTCTTTGAGAGTAGCTACCTGCTACTGCATTACGTGAACCAAAAGCGAAAGCATTGCTTTTGACCAATTGTAATAGTAAACATTTATGCCCTATTTATTAGAAGAGAGATAAAAAGAAACAAGGGGGGACAGTGAAGAAATAAGAAAAGGAAAATAATTCTGTTAATTTGGTGTCAAAGAATTATATCATATAAGAAATAAAAAGATATGATTCCACGCTGATATAGACAAAATTATTACGAAAATTATATGTTGTTTGTATTTATTGGCAGTTTTTTCTTAACGATATCAAAACCGTCAAAAATGACATTAATTAATTATTATTATTATTATTTTATATATATTTCTGATGGTTAAAAATTGCTACCTTAATTTTTCATTTATTTTTCAAACATATGTTAACGATTTTAAACCGTTAAAAATATTATTTGAATAAATATATATCTTATTCGACAAATTTCATCTCAAATTTTTATTTGAATAATTTTTTTCTTATTAAAATAAAAATTTATTAGATTATGAAACTTTTTATATTATGTTTAAAAATGATTATGCACTTTAAATTTATTTAATTATGTTAATTATTTTTTAACCTAAAAAAATTACTTTTGAATTATTTACTTACTTTTAATTAGTTATTTATTTTATTTTAAAATATTATTTAATTATTTATTTTTCTCTTTTCTTTATATATATATATATATATATATATATATAATCAAACAACTAAATTTTCACTCTATTTTTTTGTTATATCTATTTTCACTCATCTATTTCTCTCCATTCTATTTCTTACATATTTATTTCCTCTCTACTAAACACAAGCTTAAAGATTAATATAAAATGTACTTCAAATTTAAAATTAATATTTTTAGTACTCGTAATTCAAAAATCATGTTTTAGTCCCTCAGATCATCAATATCATATATGAAAATGACAAATTAAGATAGTTATGTAGTATTAGTTAGATTTAATGAGATATTCTTATTAATAGATACACTAATAAGTATATTTTATACGACTGTATTTATTAGATTTCCTAATAAAAATTTGATTAAAACAAATATTTTTGAAATTATAGAGACTAAAAATAAATTTACTTTAATTAAATTTGAGAAACTAAAAATACAATTAAGTCAATTTACAATAATATGACATGTAAATACAAAAATGTTGAGATTAGTAGTTATTTTTTTATTCATTTTTTAGAGATTTTCTATATGATTAAAAGGTTTTGATGATAGAAACTAAAATGATAAAAGAAATAAAAATTTAAAGATTAAAAATAAAAATGGTAAAAATTAAGAAACTAAAACTAATAAAAAGTTTTGTTTAGAAACTAAAAGTTAAAATTGACAAAATTCAACAATTAAAAACATATTTAATAAAAAAATAAACAATGGATATTAAGTAAAATATGATATAAAATATTAAATAATTTATAATAGTTTAAATAAACCTTTTTCAAAAAGTAATTTTTAAAATACAAAGAAAAATCCTTAAAAATAATGAAACATTTCCTAATAAAGTTGTGTTACTAATGTATTATTTATAGTTATATATATATAGTTAATTACCTATACACTTCTAATGTAAAAATTTTTTACATTGGCAACCAATTATATCTCTTAATTGTATCATGTCATTGTAAACACATTTACACTTATAAGATATATAATTAGTTGCCAATGTAAAAAAACTTTACACTTGCAGTATATAGGTGATTAACTCACATATATATATATATATATAAATTCTAAAATTGGTTTGAGAATCTTCAATATTTCATTTGCTCTTAAGGCTTATTTATCATCTTACTCATTAAAAAATATAAATTCTAATAAACTTTAATTATTGTGAATGTAAAAAGAGTAGGATTAAGCACGGAAATGACTAGTTGTTGGGGATATGTGTGCCTAAACCAGAAATTCACGACTGGTTTGTATTTGACAGAGAGAGACCTTCTAACTTCCTCTTTTTTGTAGCTTTCCATCCACACTTCTCATGTCCAAATCCCTTTTCTTAATTTTCTGATGCCTTAATGGAATCGAAATTAAATATTTCAGATGAGCATTATAGTGTTTAAATTAACTTTGTTTTGGAGGGTATATGAATAATAAGACATGATTTCTCTTCAGATTCCCTCTCTTTTGAGGGTAATAATTGATAAAATATGAATTTCTTCTTCACTCTTCTATTACACCAAACAAAAATATTGACATAACTTCGTCTCTCTTCTTTGCTGGTCCTCTTCCCTCCCTCACCTTTCGAGCAAATCGCATACACCAAACGCAGTGCAATGTCTTCTTTTGCATTGGACTCATTCCTGTTTTATTTTTTATGCATACAATGTAGACCAATTACACACGTGCATCATATGCTAATTCCTTGATATTACACTTGATATCCTTGTAATTTTTTTATAACTCATGGTATTTTTTTATTTGGAAGTTAATAACAAATATTTTTTAAGTTATTGAAATATATTCATTGGTTGATTTGATATATATATATATATATATATA